TGGGTACTTCTCTCTGATACGAGCAGCTTCTGCTTGACGCCTCTCTGCAACAATTGAATTAGTGTTTTTAAAACATCTACAAACAAATATAATGGACAATGGGTCAAAGAATGTTATCAAAATAGCACAATACTCTTGCAATCATTCAAGCTTTCTTGTATGGCTTCAAGATAATAATTTGAACTGCACAGAATTGTAGTTACACGTGCAGCTATTTTTTACTTTGCACATCAATAATAAGTTAAGCCTTTTTCTTCTAGTAACTGAGATAACAAGAATTCAATCTGTGGTTGTGCTTCACATTCTGTAATCTTCAAGAGGCAATGAGCATTAAGTGGACATGTACATGAGAGGAATGTTATACAATTGCATTTCAAGGAATTACAGTAAATTGCAACTTGTTAAGACTTTTGCCGCTTTCCTAATTATTCCTTTCCACAAGTACATAATCAAAACAACATCTTTTTTTCTATTCTACAATATGGTAATAAGATATCTATGAAACCAAATTTATGTAATCTTCAAGAGGCAATGAGCATTAAGTGGACATGTACATGAGAGGAATGTTATACAATTGCATTTCAAGGAATTACAGTAAATTGCAACTTGTTAAGACTTTTGCCGCTTTCCTAATTATTCCATTCCACAAGTACATAATCAAAACAACATTTTTGTTTCTATTCTACAATATGGTAATAAGATATCTATGAAACCAAATTTGTTAAAAAAGTGTCCAAACAATCTACAAACAGAAAGTAAAAAAAAAATCAATGATTATCAATGTTTCTGACTTAGCTATAACGGGGAGAAGATTTCATTCCATTACATATGATGGTAAATACAATTCATACTCATTAATGATTTCAATTTCACATAAAATAGGAAATAAACTTCTTATTAGAAAATAGTTAAATTTTACACAGTTTCTCAGTTTGCACAGAGCTCACAGCCCTTAAGAGGAAAAAAAAGGTGTTAATGCAACAACGATAACACTCTCATCCAAGGGCATAAATACTTTCATAATGTAACATAATAAAATTAGAAAAAAAATAGATCACATCATATTTAACCATATATTGCACCCAAACGCACAAATCAATGATCTAATCAAAAGGATTTTAAAAAATGTAATGGAATTTAGAGGCAAAACTATAGAGTACTCAACCAAATATATAGATTCTATCATTTAAAGCAATTTAAAAAACTAGCGTTAATAAACTATCGGATCAACAAAGATGTGTGTAAGGATCGAAAATATATACCAAGGGGCTGTTCCAACTTAAAGGAGCTTTTGGCCATGGTTATCAGATGACAGCTCCAATTCGTTAACTGAATATTGAAGAAAAAAAGGAAGAGATTTAGGATTTTTTTTTTTTTTTTGGCGAAAATTAGAGAATTATGTAATGTATTTATGGAGAAAAGGAATAGGCACTTTACCAAATGGAAAGAAATTGAGTGCGCGCGTTTCTCAATTGTCCTGTGCTCCTCAATTTAGGATATGTTTGAGCCACATTATTTTGGAAGAATGTATTCTGTAATAGTAGATTGATAGAGAATGTGTGATTGAAAAAGAAAGAAAAGTTATTGATGTGATGGAAAATATTATTTTAATGAAAAATATGTGGTTGAAAATGAATAGAAGAATGAGAGTGAAAATTTTAATGGATACCAAACAGGGGCTTACTATTTTGATGTTGCATAAGCGTGTGAGCCACGTTTACATAAATAAGAGCTCATTTGATACTAATTAAAATTGAATTAAAATTGAAAATATAGTCGTTATTGGGCAACACTCGTCTAATAAAAGTCAACAATAACGGCTAGTTTTTCAATTTTAATCCGATTTTAATCTCTACCCAACGGGCTCTAAGTATTTTGGTACAAGTCTTTGAAACTATACATAACTCGATAAATTTCACATAAAATAGGAAATAAACTTTTTATTTGAAAAGAGTTAAATTTTACACAGTTTCTCAGTTTGCACAGAGCTCACAGCCCTTAGAGGAAAAAAAAAAGTGTTAATGCAACACCGATAACACTCTCATCCAAGGGCATAAATATTTTCATAATGTAACATAATAAATTACAAAAAAATAGATTACATCATATTTAACCATATATTGCACCCAAACGCACAAATCGATGATCCAGTCAAAAGGATTTTAAAAAAATGTAATGGAATTTAGAGGCAAAACTATAAAGTAATCAACCAAATATATAGATTCTATCATTTAAAGCAATTAAAAAAACTAGGGTTAATAAACTATCGGATCAACAAAGATGTGTGTAAGGATCGAAAATATATACCGAGGGGCTGTTCCAACTTAAAGGAGCTTTTGGCCATGGTTATCAGATGACAGCTCCAATTCGTTAACTGAATATTGAAGGAAAAAAGGAAGAGATTTAGGATTTTTTTTTTTTTTTGGGCGAAAATTAGAGAATTATGTAATGTATTTATGGAGAAAAGGAAAAGGCACTTTACCAAATGGAAAGAAATTGAGTGCGCGCGTTTTTCAATTGTCCTGTGCTCCTCAATTCACTATTTTGATGTTGCATAAGCGTGTGAGCCACGTTTACATAAATAAGAGCTCGTTTGGTACTAATTAAAATTGAATTAAAATTGAAAATATAGTCGTTATTGGACAACACTCATCTAATAAAAGTCAACAATAACGGCTAGTTTTTCAATTTTAATCCCATTTTAATCCAATTTTAATCTCTACCAAACAGGCTCTAAGTATTTTGAACTAAAATAAACAACTTATTTTATAGTTAGACAAAAACACAAGTTTCAAAATACTCTTATTCGTGTATGCATGTTTCTTACGAAATGTACAAATAAAAATATAATTTAATTAATCTATAAGCAATCTGATCTTCTGAACGTTTAAATAATGTTCTTTTACACTTTCTTTCTAAGATGTTTGCTATAATAATCTTCTCCTCTCGTCAAAAGGAGCACACTTGCAATTCTGCCCACTCCCCTTGAGTCGTCCTCTCATCTCCTCTCTGTTTTTTCTCATATTAAACATAGATATTACATACAACAGAAACTTTGATATGTATTGAGCTATCTAGGATCAACAAGATTGTTTTGCCTAGAGTTCAAAGTACTCCTTGTTATGTTCCTAGACAACATGGCATTAGTAAGAGAAGCCATGTAGTATTCTTCTATTAAAAAATTGAAAGAGAAACAAGAGATAATTACACTACCAATCTCGAAAACTTTCCATGTGTCTTTATCTTGTGCTTCGATAGCTATATGGAGTAGACGCTATTCTTTCAAATTGCACGTAACAATCAAGTCAAAACATTTGTGAAATTTATACACTGTTCAAACTAAAAATACTGCAAAACCAATTACAAATATTCGTCCCACTTGTGACCAAGCGCAAAGCGAAAAGTAGTACTGAAATAATCAATTCTAAATTATTTCAAATTATGAGTGTCTAACAAAAAAAGGTTAAATCTAGAAGCATCACTCAAAACAACAATAAATTTGATACGAACCCTCTGAGGCCCTCCACCTCGTCCATCCACCACGTGTTGGCCGAATTGAACCCATAGGTCGGAACTGAAATACCATTGCCCTACTCAGTAGAAGACCCGAACTCATCCGCCCTTCACGACGGATGCAAAGGTCTGCACTCTGACACACATTGTACTTTGCAATCCTCCTCACCGCATCCTCACCAAGATCTCCAAAGTCGAGCTCCTGATTGATTGATGGGGACGTGTGGTAGGCTACAAACGGTCACTCAGTTGATATGTCAAAAATCATTTAATGTTTGATAACCTATGGATTGACAAATTGACGCCAATGAGAGGACGACTCATACGGGATCTGAAGCAACTTGTCCATTTATCCAACTGTCCACCTCTTGCATTTTCTACTCTCATATTGGTAAGTATAAGGGGTTCCCATTTTAATATTTGCATTCTAGTCTTTACTTTAAAGGAGCACTACACTACATTTACACATTATCAACCCCGTCCCGACAATCCCTCACCGCCAGACACCACTTTCCGATTGACTAAAATACTGACTTGATCGTCGTAGTGCTCGCTGCAGCCTTCACCCCTGTCGGAAAAGACCACGAGTGACTGACGGGGTGTACTACTGTGCACAAGGAAAAGCTTACGTGAAGTTTCGTTCTGTTGATCATGTGTCAGAATCATTTATCGGGGTCAACAAAATTCTTCTTGTTCTAAGATCCATAGAAAAGTATTGATGTAAAAAATTATCGAGAATGATGCTACACCGAACGAGAGTTCTTTCCGTTCAAAAATATTCATGAATTTACGTGTACCAATTCTAACTGGACACTTAGTTTAATTTTATAAGTTTCTGTGTTGACTTACGTCTTCATAACATTCATGTTTCAAATCACTTTTCTAAATTATAGGTCATACTATTGGCAACTAAAGAAACAGACATTTAGCCCATTAAATTAAATTTATTAAAAGTACACCACAATCTAACTAGAACCTTCTCCAAAATTAATACGTGTACAAAAATACAAGACACGCACTAATTAAATAATTCAATTATTGTAAGATTCAATTGATGTAAATTTATTCCGTCACTCTCTCTTTATTGAGCGTGAAACACCCAAAATTTCCTCCTTTATAAGAGTTCTAGGAATCATCTTCCAATTTACATGATCGTCTTTTGTAATTTTATTGCATAATTACTATATTCTGTAATTCAATGGCAACAAGTCACAGAAAATCGGCCTTCTTAACTCACATCAGATCTAATCGAAGCCGTCAATCGCCATGTTATAGGCCAATGGTTGTCACGATGGTCCGAAATCAATCTTACTGTGTGTCAACTGAAGTTCACATCGAAGAATACTTAAAAAAAGCTATTCCCATTAGGCCACCAGTTTCAATTTTTGAGCCTATGCATCATTTGACGTTTGAGGCTCCACGGAGTAAAGCACCAATTTTGTGCGTTGCAACGTGCGAATTGACAGATGGTGACGGGAGCCCGAGCGATGGCCGCAGCGGCGGCTTTACATCTCATGAATGCTGCAATATTTACCCATGAGAACCTACCAGTGACAGACAGGCCCATGCCCAAACCAGAAGTCCAGCACAAATTCGGCCCAAATGTTGAGCTTCTAACCGGCGATGGGATAGTGCCATTTGGGCTTGAGCTGTTGGCTAGGTCTATGGACCAAGGCCCAAATGATCCAGGTCAGATCCTTAGGGTAATTCTAGGGGAAAAAGTCACTTTCCCTACTTTATCTTTACCATATTTCAAAAATAACAAAACAACTTTTACATTTCAAAAATCAGATTTTTTGACCTATATATACACATATTTATAAATATTTATTTATTTATTTAAATATATAAAAAGATATAAATAAATAAATAAATAAATATATATAAAATTAACCCACCCCCATCACCACCACCCCACCACGCCGGCGACTGCTCCGGCGACCACTCCGGCGACGTCTCCGATTCCGGCGACCGCTCCGGCGCCTATTCCGGCGACTGTTCCGATTCCGACGACTCGGGTCACAAGTCACAATCCAGGTCACAACTCAGGTCACAGTTCAATTTACAATTAACCCACCCCTACCTCCACCACCCCCACCTCTCCGGCGATACTCCGGCGACTGNATGACATGAATTTTTTGTACGGTCACAGCCCAAGTCACAGCCCAGGTCACAAGTCACAGTCCAGGTCACAGCCAAGGTCACAGGTCACAGTCTAGGTCACAACTCAAGTCACAGGTCACAGTCTAGGTCACAAATCAGAATTCTGTTCATAATCACAGGTTATTTTCAAACGATGACAGCACAGATTACAAAATATTTTTGCACAGAGCTGAAATTAATATTTAGTCACAAATTGTCATATTTTAAGGTCACATTTAATCCATTATGCGGTCCGTCACCGCCACCGCCACCGCCACCATCAGATCTAACATACCCTGTCAGACCACCATCAGATTAATATTTGTCACAAATTGTCAAATTTTAAGGTCACAATTAATCCATTGTGCAGTCACAATTAGTCCGTTATTTGTGACCATGACCACCATGACTGCATCACCCCACCACTGTCGCCATCACCCCACCACTGTCGCCGCCATCACCATCACCACCACCATTTTTTAGCCCATTGTTTTATTTTCTACTTATTTCTTCAATTAGGAAAACAAACTTTACCAAATTGAATCAGCAACTAATTATGGTGTATTTTTTGGGCAGAATCTCATAACGTGAAACCACAAAAAAACCTAATCTCGGATTTGACTATTCAACTATACCAACAGCTCTTCGCCACCGCCACATCTGCCACCATCACCGCAACCAACCACCACACCAACAACTGGCCAAAGGGTCTCCCCATCGCCCAATCTACCCTCACTCTATCAACGTCACCTACTACCATCACCCTCGTCGACACCGCCAGATCCACCCTTCCCGCCAGCAACTCCACCTGCACCACCACGAACCCCCCCAACAACACCAAAATATGGAAAACCATCACTCCAACAACCAAAACCACCTCATCGTTGTCGTCAGATCCACCACCACTTGTAGAACCAACATCACCACCACCGAATTGTAGCAGTGACAAGGGTGAAGCTGCTCTGCCACATAGCCCCATCGTTGCAGCGACGGTGATCTCCTTTTCGATGTTTGTGATAGAGAGGCAGTGGCAGCGATCTCTCGAGAGAGAGAAAGGGGAGGAAGAATAACCTGTGAATTTGTGACTAAATATTGACTGTGGATTTAGGAACCGGAAGAGGGATGGGTGAAGCGCCATACCGGGGAGAGGAGAGGAGATGACTGCAAATCGAGGCCCCGTTCGCCGGAGCGTCACTCCAACTACAACCGTCGATCTGAGAGCGAGGCCCGTCGCCGGAGAGAGATACAGAGAGGGGGGAGGATTTTGGTTAGAATGTGAGAAATTAGGGATTTACCGTGTGGGGGTGGGGGTATAAATTAATTTTTATAATATTATTATTAATATTTAATTAAGTATAAAAAATCTGTATCCATATAAAAAAAAATCTGATTTTTGAAAAAATAAACTTTATATCTGATTTTAGAATTTGGATTTCCAAATGTAGGGAATTGGGTAATTTTCACTT